AGCTGTCAGCACGGAGCCAGACGCGGGGCTTGAACCCACGAACCATGAGATCATGACCTGAGCCCAAGTCGAACGTTCAACTGACTGAGCCACCCAGGTGCCCCTAATATCTTATTTTTTAGCATTTAATTTGAAAGAGAAGAAGGGAAATGGGGGAGAAATGTTTAAAGGCTCCTGGGGGAAGAATAATTAGGAAAAGATTGAGAAATGCTCCCGTGGACTGTACCTCAAGTCGTGCTGTGGGACAAGGCAGTGTAAATACAATACCTGTGTGATGTTCTTGCCAGCCTCTGCTCCGTCCTGGGAATCCCGTGGTTCGGTGGCCTCAGTGTCAGACTTTGTTCTCGTGCAGTCACGGTCCACTTGGGGAATTTCCTCAGCCCGGGCCCCGTGTTTGAAGCATCATGTTATCTCGCTGAATAGTCGCTTGTTGCTGTCATGCACGTGTTGAAATCTCGAGTCACTGGCCCAAGTTCCCAAGGCAACCCAGAATGGGAGTGAGGTTTGACCCACAGCGTCCCAACTCCCAGAATCCCCTTCCTTGCCCCCCCTGCCCCCCAGCAGCTCTGCTGTTCCTCTCCGGCCTCCTCCCTTTGACCGGCACTGTTCAGGGAGACTCTTCCCACAGGAGGACAACCAGCATCTCCAGGCCCAGGAAGGAGGGTGGGTTGGGCTTACTCTGGGCAGTGGGATCTCCCAGGATCCTCTGCGGCAGAGCAACTGTCCTGAGGGCTCCCTGGAGAGGCCAGCCCTGTTTGGTTTGGGTGGTTTAGCCCATGAGGCCAATTCCTGGGGGTGTGGAAGCATAAACAGTTGTACTGAGTTAATGAGGCCTCATCTCTGACTCACAGATGCACCTTGGAGGCCAGGTCCTGTGGAGACAGGCCTGTCTGTGTGTGCAAGGCCGTGAGGGGACAGGCCTGCCTATATGTGCACGGCCATGAGGGGACAGCCCTGTCCCTGTGTGCCAGGCGCGTAAGGGCACGCTGTGTGTTTACAGGCTGTGAAAAGACTGGCCTGTTTCTGCATCCGGGTTTTGAGGCAAGAGGCCTGGGTGTACACAGCTTGTTGGGGTGGGTGAGTACCTGGCCAGGCCGAGACACGCACCAGGCCCATAAAGGAGCCCCAAGAAGTCAGATACACCCACTTGGCATGGCTGACACTTCTGGTCCCTCCAGCGCGGGAAAACGGCCTTTGCACTTCCCGAGAGGGGTTCTCGCATAGGCTGTTGTGCACAAGCCTTGAAAACCAAGATGATTTTATCCCCTAGGGAAGCCGGGGTCCCAAGAACAGCCCCCGAGGCCTATCCCAAGTGCCAGGGGCGGAGGAGCGGACTCTGGGGGAGGCAAGAAGCTGGCCTATCTTCCCGTCCCGAAGCTACAGGGCAGAGGAAAGCACCGGGCTCTGGGGAGGTCCCGGCCCA